GACATCTCATGGGGTTTCAGACTACACCTCCAGTGGCTGGAAACAGCAGCCCAACATGGACAGGAGCAGTTTCAGTTTCTCCACTGCTTCATATGGAGTTCTCCTTACTATGTTCTATCTTTGTAACAAAAGAAAGACACTGGCTGAGCTTTTCTTTGCCTCTCCTTTAAATGTTGCACACTATCTCCATCCTGCTCACGTGCAGCAGTGCCTCTGCTGTCTGGAATGGGAAGTCTGTAATGAAAGCAGAACTCTCTGACATGCCAAGTAGCCAAAACCAGTTAGCTAAGAGATGAACAGGCTGCTCCTGAGCTTATTAGAGCTATTGCAGCTTGCCAGGTTTACCATTTTGACTAATTCACCTTTGTTCTTTGGCAGGAATGGGAGAAAAAAGGCGCAAGTTAGAAGTACATTTTTCAGAGATGGACTAAAGACTGGAACTGCCCATGCATAGAAAAGGGGATTCGAACACCAGTAGGTGGATGTTGGGTGTGCAGCACAACCCACACCAAGCACCTCCTCCGCCTCACGCCGCCTGCTTGGATGCAGCAGTGGAGTCAGCAGCTGCTGCTACCACTTATCCCAAACAATCTTGCTCTTTCCAGACAAGTCCCATCACGTAGCTAAAACAATAACAACTGGTGGCAATCCTTGCATCAGATTCCTAACCCAGTTACTGTAAACAAGAATGTTACTGTACATAGGGGTGTTTTGTGTATTTCTACTCTGAAGGTTTATTGACGAGTTATTAAGGTTTCTATATTAGTGACAGTAGTGAGTTCAGGGCGGTCCTCTGCTAGTCTTCATCCCCCCATGATTTTCAACCTGTCATGGCAAATTGCAGCCAGCTTAAGTCTCACCTGCCTTGCTGCTGGCTGTCCCTCAGCTGCAGATCATCCAGATGCCCAGGTCTGACTCATCAGCAAGACACAGATGAGAAGCACACAGGCACCTGTCCAGTAGGAAGGACCCTCTCAGCATTACAGGGAACTAACTGTACATACACATGCAGCAAGGATTTTCAGTGACCAATTGCATCATGCACAGGCTTAATGCTACCAGCCTGTGGTAGGGTTGATTTGCCAGAATGTGGAGGAGGATGCCTGCTCACCTTCTCATGCTGTGTTACAGACTGGTGGAATCAAGGTTTCTGTGCAAAAGTGATCTTCCAAACAGAGTTACTAAAAGTTCTTGAGGATCTTGATCTCCTTCACCTGAGGAGTTTGTTCTGAAAAAGAATAATCATAGTTGAAGGCTTGTTAATGACGTACCAAAGTCCCAGGCCTGCTTACCCTGCTGAATGAGGATGCTGGATATGATGCCCTTTCTGAGAGGAGGTAAAGGTAGCTCTGTGCTCCTGCCCTGGTGCTCAGCACCACATTGCTGATGCTCTCTGGTCCCTGTGGAGCTGCAGCACGACCCCTAGCAGCAGCTGTACATTGCTAAACACCCCTGTGGGAAAGAGCCCCTTTGCATGGGTTCAGATGGGTGCTGGACCTGCTCTCCTCCCTGTCTCTGGATGGCTGCTAGCTGTCCTGGTGCTATCACCCTTATTTCTAGATCAGTAAAACTTAACATAGTCTTTGGATGCTGTGTACTTGCAAAGCTCATCCCTATGCTCCATGGCCAAGCTGTTCAATGAGAGAGATTGTGTGCCTGGAACTGCTAAAACTTAGAGATATTACAATTCAAAGAGAGGCACAGAGAAATCCATCCACCTGGAGTTTCCTCTCCAAAGCACAGGGAGGTCATGGACACCAAGAAGCTTTTGTTTTGCCCCATCCTAAGCTGTCAGGAGCTCCTGTTCCCACCCTAAGCACACACACAGCACCACGCTCTCCTCCTACACCCTGCTGTCTGCAGAGCTTGTTCAGCTCTCTCACAGCTGTAACCAGCTAACATGGATGAGAGCAGCTGTGCTTTCTGCCTTGTTGGCTCTGCTGGGTGGTAAACATGTTTCCCAGACAAGAATTGTTAAGTAATGTCTCAGCGTCCCCATTGTTTTCTTAACTCAAAGCATTTCCTTTATTCTAACTGTGACCTATAAAGTGGCGCTTTAGAGGGTTTTATAATAAAATGTTGAATATATTATGTTACCAGTGTATTCTATGTTAGCGAGGCTTGTCCCTGATCTGCTTTCTAGTATCTTTCATGCACTTCAAACCACCACCATTATGAAGTTCCTTAGCTAGGCCATCCACAAGGACTAAGTCTTAAACAAATAATTCAGTATTCTAGAGTGACAGCAATGGAAATGAAAAACCTTTCTGTCAGCTAACCTACTGAAAAGATCCCTGGTAGTTTGCACAAATAACACAAAATAGGCTCCTGCCTGTAGCTCAAATAACAAAATGAATCAGCAGAGGGAAAATGCGTGAGAAGTCCCTCACCTTCTGCTTGCCACCACGTGGCAACTGTGTGCAGTGCTTGGTGCCTGCTCCCATCACTGACAGGAAAAGGAGGAAGGAGTTTAGCTGGAAAGGAAGGAGAAGGGTTAGCAAGGATTGCTCCCCAGCAGCTCTGCCCATCAGTATCGGGTCCAGCCTTTCCTAGCACAACCCTGCCTTGATCCCCATGGATCTTGACCTTGACCTGCTAACAAATGCAGTTTCCTAGGATCTCAGCCACATTTTAAAGTTGAAAAAGAACATTTCTTGTTAAGATGTAGAAGTTAGCTAAATAGCTGGGGCATTAACAAATTTACTTGTACTGCAGAGAATAAGATTTGCATGTTTGTTGTGAGCTGAAGACAGCTGGCCTTAAGGAGAGTTCATGTGATATTTACTAGTCACAGCAGGCATGATTTTGCTTGTGTTGCACAGGAAACACAAGGACAAAGGGAAGGTAAGACCCAAGGGGGTGAAATTCATGACACTTACCTAAATCCCAGTTCCTTGCAGGAGAAATAGGCTCTCCCCTGCAGTCAGCACCTGGCCCATGACCAGTGAAGGTTCATGCTGGAATCATACAGATTAAGAGGAATTCACACATCTCTGTTAGCAGCTGCCCTGACACCCAGTGACATGCTCGCCTTGTCCATGGGCTCTGTGCCCTGCTAACCCAGACAGGATTAGTGCTGGCTCACAGGGACCCCTGCATGGCTTTCCAGGCTCAAGCATCCCCCACCCTTCAGGGCATGAGCTCCCTTCAGACACATTCTCATTAAACATTTCTGATGGAATTCAAAGCAAGTCTGCAGGGATGAATTTAATAAGGAGTTATGTCAGAGCCCTGAGCCACTTACCCTTTTTTAATTAAGATTTGCAGGAGAAAGGACCAAGAAATTAGCCAGGAACAACTCCAACAACTGCTCAGCCATGTCCTGCTGAGCTGTGGGATCAGTGCACATCCAGCATTCCCCAACCCAACTTACCAGGTTGGCTGTTCCCTCTCCTCCCACTGCCCTGACACCTCCTTACCTCACAGAGTGCTTTGCCCCCTACAAGCAGGGCCACTGGGCTGTGCTGATGGGTTTGTGCTCTCCTTTGGTAAAGCCCTGCAGAAAGGGAGGACTGCAAACGGGGCAGTGAGGGAAGAAGTCATGATCTTGGACCCAGCACCCAGCAGGGGATGCACAGAGAGATTGGGAAGAGGCTCCTGTGCAGCTCAGCTGGAATCCAGCCATCTCCACAAACACAAACCATGGCTTCTGAGGTTATCTGTGAACCTGGTATCACCCATTCTCCCTTCAGATAACACTTACGCAGTGGAGACAGTGCTTATGCAGCGCTGCCTATATGAACGATCTTGGTAGAATCATTTCTCTTTCTACCAAAATGTCAGCCCTTCCTCCAGGTAAGCCTGTTCTGCTGTGCCTTAGGCACCAAAGGACACAGACCACGTACTGAAAAGAGGAAATTCTTGCTTCTCCTACAAGATGTAATAGCATTATATTGTCTTGGGGCCAGCTTTCAGTCTCAGGAGAGCCTCATATAATTGTCAGTCTGACAGTGAACCTGCAGAATAATTTGTCTCTCTTTTTATACATCTGATCTCATTATTCAGACCAGGACAACTGAGTGAAGGGGTTTTTCTCCTCCTCTGAACAACAGTTGCTACTCTCACTGGGACTGGCAGCCACTGCTCGTGTCCCTGCTTAGGGCTGCCCTGGCTGTGCCCAGGGACGGATGCCATGGAAAAAGCAGCAGAGAACAACATGATAGTCTGACTTGTCATCCTCGGGAGCACAGTTCATAGCCTTATGGGCAAACTGACCTGGTGATCCAGTGCTGCTCTGGAGGATAGAAGCATGAGGCCAAACTGTCTCTGGAGATGCAAATATTATCAGAGCCCAGGAGAGGCTGAGCTCTGGATGCAGAGGCTGCTGCTGTGCTGGTGACCAGGTCAGCTTGAAACACCAAGGGGAGGCAGAATCACACAGCAACTCCTTTGGGGTCATACAATCCATTGCAAAACCAACCATTTTCAAACCTTAACAAAACAGGCAGCTGCAAAAATGCCTATGAAGATAAACCATATTAGACTAGCCCAAATGAACTCAGAGAAAAAAGCAGCACAGATAACTTAAGAACAGAGGCTCATAACCAGTTCCTCTTCCTCTTACCTGTCCAGCACACCATTCACTCCATCACTTGCTGCCTAACCTGGTCACCATGGACTGTATTTGATTTCATTCTGCAGTTATTGCACTGAAATTATCACTTCTGGCCAAGATCAAGTATCAGCTTAGAAAGACAATCAAATCTTCAGAATGAGGCAAAAGCTAACACCAAGACGTCAGCTGACTCAGAGTCTGACCCAGCCTATTGCTTCAACACTTTCTTAAACACCCCTATGCTCTGGGAACCAGAGCTGCCATCTCCATAATCTGCCATCAGTGGGAGCTCCAGAATTGTTCAGATGTCTACATGTTTTCAGTCTAACTCTAAGACCTCTCAAGGAGTCCATTCAAAATATAACAATTACACATAAAAATGCCAAAAATAAATACTTAATATCAAATATTTACTCAATTCCAAAAGAAAGAGAGCACCAGAAAGCCCAGTTTGTGCAGTGCAGGAACTGGGAATGGCCCAGTCACTCAACCAAGGGCAGCAATGTCTTGCTGGGTCAGAACTGGAGCTCACAGCACTTCTGGGTCAGCATCTCAGGACCTTTTCAGGTGCCGGTGGTCTCCAGAGAAGCACTGAAAACTGCCTGGAATCTGCTGCACATGGGAGTCTGTAGGGAGGACTGGAGATCTTGGAGAATCACCTCAGGGAACTCCTGTTGTAGAGGAAGAGAAATAAATGTGGGTAAGCGCTCTAGGAACATGCTCAGTCCCTTATAGCCTAGCAAACACCTCCTGAGCCTTAGCTCACAGATGTTAGAAGCAAACCTGCTGGGCCTGATGTCTAACATCTCACAGACATTAGAAGCCATGAGAAGGGTTTCTTCTAGCACGGCCCAGGGAAAGGGAAACAAATGGAGGGGAGGACTACCAAAATTTTTAGACCTTCTCAATCTTTAACTCGCTTAGTGAACGTGTAAAACAGTGCAGCTCAGCATCCCAAACATCTCTACTCTCCATGTGACTCACGTCCCCTCAGCACCAAGACCCAGCCACCAAACAGCTGACAGGGAACTACAGCCAGCTCTCTGCTAAGGAAGAGGTGGAGATTTGGGATGGGTTGAGTGGGGCTGGGCAGGTGCTGCAGCTGTCATCCCCTGAGCCTTACTGCTCTCGCAGTGGAGTCCTTCCCAGCCATGACATTCACACCAGTAGCTTCCCGGCCTGAGGATGCACACGCCCTGGTTCATGCATGGGTTAGGTTTGCACAGGTTCACAGGGCTTTTTGCTTCTGCAACAAACACAGACAGAACAGTGGGGTCAGGCATATTGAGGGAGTATTAACTGTTAAATGCACATCCATTAGCAATGCTTCAGAGAACAGTGACAGCAATTAAATAACCCAACCCCCAGAAAACATCATCTGGGGAAAGCAGAAGTGATACACACAAATTTGGCAGAGAGTGTAAGCCTGCAACAAACTCCTTTGTGTTTAAACTACAGAAGAGAAAGGCTGGCTTTGCTACATGTTTGATTCTAAAATGGAGCATCTTCAGAGCTGTGTGCTGAACGCACAAGCACCTCTAAGCCCCCAGGTCCAGACGTTGCCAATGCAGAGCAGGACACACGCCCCAAGCAGTTTACAACCCCAAATACCTCTGGAGTTCAAACCCTGCTGTGCTCTGGAGAGGAGCTGAGGTTATATGTGAGGGAAGCAAGAACAAGAAATCATTCACAAATGAGTGAAAAAAACAAAAGAAATATTTCAGGGCTTTTTTTTTTTTTTTCTTGGAGATTAGAGAGAAAAGCCCACAAGCCTAAGCTGTTATTAGCTCTGTTCTTTTGAAGTATGTGACAGATTTCCCAGCCCCCTTAAGAGAACAGAGCTCAGCTGTCAGCAGGGCTGGCAGGGCTCCATGCTGTGAATGCACTGGGCTAAGTAGCAGCATCCCAGAGGAATTTGCTTGCAGCCTTCTGGCATCCCTGCAGCAGAGCTGGGAAGGGTATGAAATTCCTTCACCAAACCACTGCATGGTGTAGCCTGGACCTGCAGCCTTGCCCTTTGCTCCACAATAGGAAAAAACAGACAATGGGAATAAGGTGTGAGAAGGAAAGAATATAAACTCCACCCCCTATCCATCAGAATGCTTACTACACATTATAGCACATAATAGCCGTTCTCCCCGTATAGGTGTGCTGGTACACATCAGTACTCAAACACATACCTACGACTGGCAGTTATCTACTTACTGAGATCTGAACAATTTCAGTCTTCAGTTCCTGCTGACGTTACGTGGACACAAACAACCCTTTTGTCACAGATCCCAGATGGGGTTCTGCCTCACAACGCACCCCCAAGGGAACGCCTTCGCATTTAGCACTGATGGCAGAGCCACCACAGCACAGTCAGAGGGACCTCATACCCAAACACATCTGCGCCCTTCCTGCTGCCCAGAGAGCCCTCCTGGTCTCTGCTCTGCAGAACACGTGCCCACTGTGTGTGACCCAGGGGTCCCTGCTGGGGGAAGCGTGCTGTTCTGCCCAGACACCATTAACCCTGCACTCAAGCCTACCATTAACACTGCATCACCCTAAATAAGCATCTTTCACTTCACCCCACAGCGACCCTAGGAGGTTGTGTTTTCATTAGGCAGATATTACATACAGTTATTGCTTTGGATCTTTTCTCCCAGAGCCCGAGACATTTTTCCCAGCCTCTTTTCAGCCGTGCCTCAGAACACAATACTCCAGGTGTCCAGAGGCAGGGGCTGTTTTTCACATGCTTTTATGACAAGTCTTTTCTTTTTTTTTTTTAGTCCTTTCACAGACAGAGCTTCTGTTATTAAGCCTTGGACTTGGAGCAGAAGACTGAATGAAGGGCTTATCTTTCCATCAGCCTTGGCCCCAGCCTATATGTACAAACAGTGATTACCTGCACACGAAATGAAAGCAACAATTCAGTCTCAGGAAATGATACGTTATTACCCAGAATCACTGAACCTTGCTGTCTCTTCCCCTTCACCTGTGGCCTTGTGGTTAATTTCATGGTACAGTAGATTGTTTTGATAGTAACACAGCTGAAAATACCACTGCAGTAGATGCAGACTGAAAAGCTCCAGGTACAAACTGCCTGCAGAAGCCTGCCAGGAGACAGGCTGCTTGGACCACAGAGATAGCTCTGCTGTCTTTTCTAACCCCAAAAGAGACACAGCATGCCAATACATTAAGACAGGCTTTGATTGTGCCGTTAATCACAGCACTGCTCTAATTGCATCTTCATCTGATCTTACATAGGGGTTAAAACACCAGACCGCAAAGACAGATGTTAGACTATTCTGAACGTGAAACAATGTGGATTAGCTGGAGCAGCAAGGAACTAAAAACATTTCTCTACCACTAATGCCTAAAAACCCAGGTTGCTTTCCTCCCTGAAAAGCTCATTTCAATCAAACAGAAGCACTCACACTCATCATGTTTCACTCACTCACAAGCACAAGCACAAGCACAAGCACAAGCACAAGCACAAGCACAA